TTCATGCACAGTTCTATTGCAAGTGTAAATTGGCAAAGTGTTTCTGAAAACATGTAGGTGTACTTAAAGCAAGAGCCTTAAAAATATGCTCTCAGTAATTCTGCCTCTGGTGCCTAAGTAGATAATCTGAAAGAACAAAATTATTCGTTGCAATGTTATTTGACTATTGCAGTACATTGAGAAACATTTAACTAAGAAAGGGTGTATCAATTGTGGTTCAGTTCATTATACATCTATATGTACATTGTCATTGTACATTATTCATAGTAGTATTGACAAGGGATCTTTTATGATTTATAGATACATTTACTCCATAATTCTCAGTGAGAAAATTGTGTTTTTATAACTGTTAAAAAAAACAAAAAACACAAGCATTCCTATTTAGAAATCTCCTGGTTTGTGAGCAAGCATCGATGGTTTTAGGAGGGAAGAAGCTATCCTTCTAAAATTGAGTGTTTATCTCTTTAATATTGAGTCCACCTGTCATTTCAGTTTTCATTTTGATTCTCTGTATCTTTCAAATAATATATTTTATAATCAGCTTCCCTTATTTTCTTTGCTCTTTGCTGTCTTCTGAAGAAGATTTTATCTGTGGGTTTCTTGCTATGCATGCATGGGTTCCTTCTTAATACTGTAATGCCACTTGACTTTTGGTTGTGTTTTTTTTTGCTAGGCCAAGATCGCCAGGTTAACCAAACGCTTTGGAGCAGCCAAAGAAGATCTTAAGAAAAGACAGGAAGTAAGAATTTTTATTCTTGCATAATTACTATTTAACTCTAAATTGTAATCTTAGGAAATGCTGAGTTAGGAGAAAATTCTTCCTTTATTATACAGTCTGAAATTTGCTTTCATACTGTGCATTTCTGTATATTTTTTCTGGAGCTGCAGCTGTAGAACTGATTAACCCTTTTCTAATTCTCAATTGCCGTTTTCATATTATCAACACTATACTAATCTGCTTTATGTTATGGCATTCTTGAACTCTATTTCCTATCCATCTTTAAAGTTATGTTTTTGGGACCTGTTTCTTTCTTTTTACATTCTTGCCAGTGTCCTAGTCTAGTCACTCATTTCCTCCAAAGTATTTTAGTATTGCATTGTCTTGAGTAACCCTGTTGTCTTCTTCCTTTCTTCCCGCATGTAGATGAGTCCTAACATTGTAGCACAGCATAAATTCTAGTCTATAGCCTAGATTGCTTTTTGTTGTTTCCTAAGTTATTCTGTAATATATTTATTTTAATATAGCACTGTATATTTACTTGAATTTCTTTTGTTTCCTCTTGATTTTTTTCCATTTGAGCAAATTACATTTTTTTCTCTGATAACTCCATTTCTGGCACATAGTAATTGCCAAGAATAATAAAATAATACATTATTCCTGTATGATTTTGCTGTATTGATTCATTTTCATATCTCAAAGTTTTTATCTTGAAATAATTATGGATGCAATATGTATAATTATATATATTAAATATATGCTTATAATATACATTACTACATATATTGCATATAATATTATGTAATTGTATTGAAATGATTACAATTCACCCAGCCTCCCTCAGTGGTGAAATCTTACATAACTGCAGTACAATATCATAAGAAATCAGTATAATTCTGTTAAGTAGTTTATAGCCCTTAACAGTTTTCTCCAGTTTTTACATGAATTCCCTGTGAGTGTATGTGTGTACAAATATAGTTCTAATACAGTTTGATCCCAAGTACAGAGATATGTAAACCCCACCACAGTCATGAAACAGGATTATTCCTCATGGTAAATGGGCTCCCTTATGCTGCCCTTTCATAGTCTCAAATTTTGGCTGCTCCTCCCCTCCCAAATACTCCCTGTCCCCTGGCAACTACTAATCTGTTCCTGATCTTTATGTTGTTTTTAATTTAGGTTTTTAAGTTCTAGTTTCCCTCTTTTCTTAAGCAACGACTGTTGATTTTTATCTTTGTTCTACAGTCTAATCTCCCCAAACCCTCATTTGGCCATACCCAAAGTTTTTATTACAATCTTCTTATTTATGTAATTAATTTTCATATTCTAAGCTCCACTTTCTCGGTGTTGTTTGTCTTAGTGTGAAAACTGAGCTGTTTTGTTTTACTTATAGTAGAGAATTGGTGTAAACCTTTCAATTAACTTTAAAATTTGCTATGTCTGAATCAAACTTGGGCTATGAAACTTTTCTGTTGTTTTGTACAGTTTCTTTCCACTTTTGTCCTTTTATGGTTGTGCTGAACTAAGCAACATGCTACCCACCATATACTTCCACTGTTTGTTTGTGCATGTCAAATTTGTTTTCAGAACTACTTTCCACTTCTTGTTTACTTAGTCAAAGGATATAGAAATTTTTAAGGAATAAAGATGAAAATAATTACAGTTCTTGAAAGGTTTGTTTGGAGAGCTACAAGTAGTAAGGAAACAATGAACAAATACTGTGTAAATTCCTAAAGATTGGGAAAGGTTAATTTGAACAATTAGGGCATGTGTTGCTTGAAGAGAATGTTAAGGTGGTCTTCAGCCTTTCAAATTTTGTTCTTCCTTAACTAGTTTGAGGGTAGGCTACTTTTAAATTCCAAAACTTGGGTATCTTTCAACTCATTCTTGCTAATAGTTTCTTCATGTGAGACATTTCAAGAATTTGGTGGTTTTTATTTACTAATTCCCTTTAGCTATGGTATCTGCTGTAATTTTACATCTGTGTCTTGCTAGGTTTTAAAAATAAGATACACAGATTGTTTATAACTTTGGTTCTCCCCTTTATCAAAACAAATAAACATAAATAAAAAAACAATAATACTTCAAATGCTTTTCTTCAATTTAGATTTGCTCCTTGGTCCTCTGATGTTAATCAGTTAAAATCAAACCTCACCTTTCAGGTTTGTCTTAAAACATTTTCTGTTTTAATTTCTAAGAGCAGAAAACCCTTCTAGGCAGTTTGCTATTAAGACCATAGTTATAATGTAATCTATTTTATTGCCTTATGACTGATATCTCTAACTTAACATCCTTTCTAGTTATTATAAAAGAAAGGTCAAGATATTTCTCATGTCTTACCTAGGAAAATTCGATTGTTAGTCAAATTGTAGATTAAATCTAAATCCTACATTTTAATTTTTTGTATCTAAAAAATTATTTTTAATTCTGGTAAAAACAGATAAAATTGACCATTTTTAACTGTCCAGTACTGTTAATTATATTAACTTTGTGTAAGGATCTCTAGAACTTTCTCATCTTGCAAAACTGAAACTCTGTACCTACAGAATGACTATTTCCCCCTCCCATCAATCCTTGGCAGCCATCATTCTACTTTTTGTTCCATGATGTTGATCATTCGTGATATCTTGTAAGTGAAACCATTAAGTATTTGTTCTTTGGTGACTGTTTGATCTTTGTTGTAGCATGTGACAGGATTTCCTTCTTTATTAAGACTAATAAATAATTTTCATCATATGTATATACCACATTTTTTTATTCATTCATTTATTGATGGGTATTTGAGCCACTTTCACCTTCTGGCTCTTATGAATAATGGTATAGTGAACATTGGTGAACAGGTAGCTCCTTGAGATCCTTCAGGTTACTTGGTTTTTTTAGTTAAATTGTAGGAGTTCTTTATATATTCTGGATATTAACCTCTTCTCAGATACATGATTTGCAATTATTTACTCCCATTCCATAGCTTTCCTTTTTACTCTGTTGATTGTTTCCTTTTATGTGCAGAAATATTTAATTTTGATGTAATCTTCTTGTCTATTTTTGCTGTTGTTGCCTGTAATTTTGGTATCATAACCAGGAAATCATTGCCAAATCCAATTTCATGAAGGTTTTTTTTTTTTCTTTTATTCCAGGAGTTTTATAGTTTTAGGTCTTAGGTTAGGTCTTTAATCCATTTTGAATTTTTGTATATGGTATTAATGTTCTAAATTAATTATTTTTCATTTCAATTCCTGGTTTTCATACTGTTTGTTTACTGTCCTTTCCCCATTGTGTATCCTTGGCACCCTTGCCAAAGCTCATTTGACCACATATATGTGAGTTTATTTCTGGGCTTTCTGTTCTGTTCTGTTCTATTGGCCTATGGGACATCTTTATGCCAGCATCACACTACTGTAGTTTTGTAATACATTTGGAAATCAAGAGGTATGAAAGTGAATTTTGTTCATTTTCAAGGATGTTTTGGCAATTCAGGGTCTCTTGAGATTACATGTGAATTTTAGGATGCTTTTTTTTTCCTACTTATGCAAAAATGACATTGGGATTTTGATAGGGATTGCATTGAAACTTTATGTCACTTTGGGTAGTGTGGACATTTTAGCAATATTAAATCTTTGAATCCATGCACATGTGTTGTCTTTCCATTTATGTCTTTTATTTCTACAGTTTAGTTTTTTCCTGTAAAGGTCTTTTGCCTTAGTGGCCCACAGAAGTTTTCTGCTAAATATTAAATTTATACCTAAATATTTTATTCTCTTTGATATTGTAAAGGCCTTATTTTTCTAATTTCTTCTTAGGTTATTCATTTGTAGTATATACAGATATAACTGATTTTTGTGTGTTTTCTATCCTGCAACATTGCTGAGTTCATGTATTAGCTGAAATATTTTTTGTTTTGCAAACTCTAGAGGGTTTTCTCAATATAAGATCATGTCATCTGTGAACAGAGATAATTAAACTTAATTTCTTTCTAATTTGGCCCACTTTTGTTTGTTTTCCTTGCTTAATTACTCTAGCGAGGCCTTTCCAGTATAATGTTAAACAGAAGTTGGTGAGAGTAGACAGCCTTACCTTGTTCTTGATCTTAGAGGGAAAACTTTTCTTTATTCTCCATCTGGTATGATATTAGCTATGGGTTTTTGACATGATCTTTTCTATGTTAACGTAATTTCCTTCCATTCCTGATTTGTTGAGTGTTTTTCCATGACATGGTGTTTGCTTTTGTCAGTGTTTTTTCTTCAGTGTTTAAGAAGATTACGATTTTTTCTCACCCTTATTCCGTTTTCATGGTGTAACATAGTGTGTAAGTTGAATGATTTTTGTATGTCAATCTATCCTTGCATTCCAGGGACACATTGCACTTCAGCATGTTGTGTAATTCTTTTAATGTGCTAGTGAATTTGGTTTGCTAGTATTTTGTTGAGGATTTTTGCACCTGTGTTTATCAGGGATATTAGCCTGTAGTTTTCTTTTATTGTGGAGTCTTTGGCTTTGGTATTAGGATAATGTTGACCTCATAACCTGAATTTAGAAATATTCTATTTGGTGTTTTGGAAGAGTTGAGGAGGACTGTTGTTAATTCTTTGAATATCTGGTACAGTTCTCCAGGGAAGCCATCTTGTCCTTTACTTTTTTTATTTGATTACTGATTCCATCTCCCTGCTTGTTTATATGTGTTCGCTTTTTTAAAATTTCTTCTTGATTCAGTCTTGGTAGGTTGTATTTTTCTAGGAATTAATCCATTTTCCTTTAGGTTATCAAATTTGTCAATCTGTAATTTTTTCATAGTAGCCTCTCATCCTTTTTGCTCCTGTGGTACCAGTTATGCCTCTTCTTTCATTTATAATTTTATTTCTATTTTCTGTCTTTTTTCTTAGCTTATCTAGGTAGTTTTGCCAATTGTGTTAATTTTTTTGAAATGTCAACTTAGTTTCAGTCAATACTGATTTAATTGATTTTTTCTGTTGATTTAATAATCTCTATTTCACTTATTTCTGCTAATCTTTATTTCCTTCTTTTAA